TATCGATAAAATAGAACTTTGATTAATTTAAATTTTTTGAGAATGTCAATTTCGTCATCCTTTGCTTCCATATATAGGTAAGATAACGAAAGTTAAAAATCAATTTTTTACATATATACACGTATGATAAATAATTTTCACAAATTTTTTATATTATTTTTTTATTGTAATGTCTGTATAGCACAATAAAATGCAAGTAAAATAAATTATAAATATTATTTATGAACAAAAATTATCTTTGATAATGCAATTAAAAAAAAAATGAAATCTAGGCAAGGATAAAAATAACAATTATTCACAATAAAAAAAAATATTTTAAGAATAAGAAAATTATTTATAATAAGAATGAAAAACAATTATATTTACATAATTTTTAAAATAAAATGTACGAATGTGTGTTATCTTGGCCGCACATAATATCATCTTATCCCATGGTCACTATATTTATTCAATTAAAAGAAACATTACAGTATGAGAAATTAATAATGATAATACGTTTATTGTATATGTTTTTAGACATATTATATATATATATATTATAGATATATATTATATACAAGAGTGTTTTATAGAAAAAGTGAAGATATTTGCTGTAATTATATAATTCTTTATGAGGAGACATCACATAAATTACATATATGTACAGAAAATACACTTCTTTTCATATTACCTATTCTGTCGTTCGCACAGGTTGAAGTCAAACTGCAATACAGATTACATATTATTAATAAAAGCTCCTAACGAGTTGGTTATTCGTTATTAGCTTAGAAAAATTAGCAAGTCGTCATCTCACCCCCTTCCCCTGCCTACCCTGACCGAGCGAGACTGTTACAATACTTTTTCGTCTCGCGAATGTATTTATATCTTCGAGAAAAGTGCTCGGTTAACGCGCGGTTAATCGGCGAGAGCGAGCCGCGAGGGGGGCCTCGAGTTAGCTTCCGCACGCGAGCGGCGAGATCGATTGTTATTAATTAATCACCTCCCGCCGATCGGTAAATCGAGTAAAACGATTAGCCCGCCGACTCTGCCGACGCTCGGGAAGACGCGCCGCGGTCAAAAATACGGATCCCGTATCTCTTAATTGCTGACGCACGTGGTTAACCCACATTCGCGAATCCGCCACCCGATACGCTCTCTCTCTCGATCTCTCAATGTCGATGCCGCCGCTCCGAGTCGCTGTTCTCCTGCCGCGCGCGCGTGCAACCTTCCCAGCGTGTGCGGATTCGGTTGCTTTATTTTGAAGCAGCGACCCATAAAAGCTCTCCCGCGCGCGCGTCGGGTGCGGCGAGCGAGCGAGCGAACGGGGTGAGGGGGGAGGCGGCGTTTCTCGCCGGCGAAATAATTGTCCGTCGCCGCGCGGCGGCACGCTCGGCGATAGTTTCGCCAGCGACGGCGCGCTCGATACCGGCGCGCCGCCGCCGTGTGAAATATAGCGTGCGATACGTTTCGCGATTAGAGATCAATCGCGCCGCTTCCGCCTGAATCACCGACGCCGTCGCCACCGTCCTTTCCACTCTGCAATTCGGCTCCCTTCCGGGAGCCGCGAACTCGGCGCGGATATTCCTCGACGCGTGAGATTTTCCTTTCGCGGCTTCTCTTTTTGCTTTTACGAACGATGCAGCAACCTGATGAGTCTCTCATGATGCCGCACATTTCGATAATTCGAAGCGAGCGAAGATTCGAGATTTCACGCGCAGCTTTTCAAATTCTTCCCCCGCCGCCGGCGGAAAGCGTGCTCGAAGGTAGCCAACCGTGTATATACTGGAATAAGTGCTGCCGTTGAAGCGATATTTATTTGATCCGAATAAAACGGTTATTCCAATGTTCCTTGGCAAATTTTTACTAGAAATAGAGATGTATTCGACTATGCAATATGATATTTCCTTCGTACAAGTAGACGTCTAGCTGTACGTGTTAAAACAATTGCGACAAATATTAAGTGAATACTATTGAGAATATTAGAATTTATCTTTGGAAAATATTTACGCAGAGGGCAGGAAAAATTGAAATTTGTAACCACTAGGTTTCTTCGATGGGAAAGAAGTATTGCATAATTTTAATAAATATTCCCTTAAATTTGCGGAACCATTTTACACTAACATTCAGTGATTCATTTACAAATTGATGTACTACTTTAGGGTATCATTGCGTTCAACTGAGTATTTATTACAAGCTATTAAAATATATCAACACTATCATCCAGTTACTGAAATCACTTTTTGTCCCTTGTCTTTGGCAAGTCATTAAAAAGTTTACTATTGTCCAAAATGAACCGTTGTAGTCACTTTTTTCTTGAGTTGCCGCTAAATTTATAAAGTATAGGCGTTCTTTTATATATTTTTGCCGTCTTTTTATCGTCTTCTGCAGATTGCTGTTCGCTCATTGGACATTTTCTGTACAATTTTTAACACACTTGTGTGTTAATTTAACATATTGTGTTTTATATGTTATCTCAACGTTTTGTGTTGTGTCGATATTCAACATGTGTAAGTGTTAAAATGACACATTTTATACTTCATTGTTGATTAACGTATTAATATTGTGTTCATTTTTAATAATATATGTGTCACTTTCCAATATATTTATCTTGTGTTGAATTAACACAAAAAATTGATTGGGCCGTTGGAGACATGTGAAACGTGAAATATGTTAAATTTAACACAACATTTTTCACTATGTACAGTTTTAAAGACTCGGGAAAAACTGGCTTTTTTTCAATTTTTCCCACGAATATTTTCGGTTTCTTTCTGCGGAAAATTGAAAAAAATCGTTTTTTTTTTAATTATAATTGTACCGTTCATGTATTTGGTCTTTTTTGTTATGAACTTTCATACTGTATTATGAAAAGAATTCGCTATATGCTAAGTTACTCAAAAATAAAGCAAAATGAAAGTGTTACTTTTTTGCTTCAACGTTCTTAGTCATTCTCAGAATTTGACAGAAACATCACTTTTGGTCACTACTTTGATATCTGAGAGGTCACTTTTAGTCATCCTTTCAGTCAAGAAACAATCACTATTTCTCTTTTTTTCATCCCGGTGAGACAAGATGGCAGCGTCAATATATCTAAATTGATAAAAATATCGATTTAAGAGACTGAAAAACAAGTAATTACGCGTTTACTTGATTCCAACACTTTTTTCTGCCGAGTCTCCTACCCGCGATCTCCCGCTTCGATTGCCGTCGAAAAGTATTACGTCCTAACCGAAATCAGCGGGCTGCTCTAAGCTCGCGCGCGTCAATTAGCGCGTACCGGGCCAATTCGCGCGATAACGATCGGCCCTGAAAAGTTAGCGGCGTCGTCGTCGCCAGGAACGTCGGCCGCGGCGCGTTAAAGAGCGTTTTATCGCGGCGGCTGTTATCGCCGACGCGTACGAAATAAATTACGGGCCATGCCGGGACTCCTGCCGTGGGAGTATCGGGTAACAAATAATCACGGCGCGCGCGAGAGAGAGAGAGAGAGCGCGCGCGCCGTTACTCGATCGAACCGCGGATTAAAGAGCAAACGCGAAATATTCAATTACGCCTGGCGGTCGATAATGACTGACGCGCGCGATACCGCTCTCTCGGCCGAGAACAGAATTTCCAGCGCGCGATATATATTTTTCCGTTTCATCGTTGCGCGTACCGCGCGGTATCCGTCCGTGGGAATAACTCGCGGCGTTAATCCAACCGGTCATTCGCGCGGCCGCTACGTTCGCGATAATTATTTAAATTTGNGGGGGGGGGGGGGGGGGAATCCTCTCCGTATCGCGCGCACCGCCGGCTCTGTTTTTCACGCCTAAGACGACGAGTCGCGCTTCTTCTCTCGCGCGTTACCTCCCTTTCAATGGCGCGAATTTTCGACGCTCGTATACTGAAAGGAAAATATCTGGAAATAAGAAATGTACTCGGTGGGACTAGCAATATGTGTTTATCTTAAATCTCGATATGAATTCTTCCGTTTAAATAGAATTAACAATTGCCTTTTCATGAAAAATTACAAATTCGAGGAAGCGTATGTTTTCTTATTTGAAAAAAGTTATATTTTCAATGTAAATGTGTATATATTGGTTATTGATAAAGTTCTAGATACAAAGGTAGAAGCGCAATGGAGAAAGTTAGTTTTGATTAGCTGTTTAAATTACATGCCTAGACGCTATTTTCTTTGGCCATTGCGATTAAAAGCATATAATATACCGATAAATTATAATACTTTTGTTATTTGCTTTTGGTGTATCATTGTATGGCTTAATAAACGGACTCGATTGTCATTCTACTTTATAAGTGGAACTTCACTCCAATAAATTCCAGAATAATGCATATTACCGATCACAGACACAGCGCTGTCATCCAGTCACTCAGTCACCTTTTGTCATTTCTTTTGACGAGTTACTAAAAAATTCACTATCGTCACTATAATAGTATTTTTTCCTGAGTTGCTGTAAAATTTGTAAGATAGTAGGCGTTCTATATATATTTTTTACCTTCTCTTTTAATAAAACTGCTTCGAAAGCGTGCTTGTATTGTATCGTTCATGCCTTTGAATGTCTCATGATCTTTCCTTATCATGAATTTTCAAATAATACTAAAGAACTCGCTATATGTTAAATTATCTAAAGAAAAACCTGGGAAGGTAAAAACAAGCGTTATTTTTATGCTTAAATGGTCTTAGTTACTCTCAGAATTTGACAGAAAAAAATGTCACTTTTAGTCAGTGTCTTAACGCCTGAAAGCCGGTTTTTCTGCTTAACTTGTGGCTTAGACTTCAACTAACGATGATAGAAAAATTGTGCTTTCCTATTCATAATTAATCATTAAACCGATAACAGTTTTGTAACAGTGACTTGAACAATTTAACGATAAACCACGAATAGAAAAATATAGTTGAGGTAATCGCAAGGTTAAGTCTAAATCACAAGTTAAAGAGAAAGTGACCGGGCTCACTTTTTCGTCCCGGTTCGGCTGTCGGTCGCTCGAAGCTGAAGCGTCTCACGTGTCGCCGGGTGACGGTGTTGCAGGTGAGCCGCTACCTCGATGCGCCGGACATCATCACGGGCAACACGACGCCGATGGACCCGGCGGTGAAGCAGAGGTTGCTCCGCCACCTGGACAGCTGCGTGTCGGAGCTGGACTTGGACCTGGGCTCGCGGCCCGACAGCGGCCTAGGCAGCAGTCCGGGCAGCGTGACGGATCGCGTGGCGGGCGCGACGAGTCCGGGTCCGCTGGACCACCACGTCGGCGGGCCGGTGGGTCCGCACTGCAGCACTGCGGCGGCGCTGACGCCGGCCGGCCTCATCAAGTCCGAAATGCCGGAGATGGAGGCCGCCCGGCCGGACAGCAGCACCACCGCCGGCGACGAGAACAACAACAGCAGTCGGCCGACCTCCGCCTTCAGTCAGGTGAACCCGGCGACCTTGGACCCACACCATCCGCACCATCCGGCGGGCCTGCCGGTCGACCACCAGGCTTCCACGTCGCAGCAGAACCCGAATATGCTGTCGGTGGTGCAGGTGATACCGTCCCGGCTGCCGGACGGTCAGGTGGTCTTCCTGTTGCCGAGCCACTACGTGCAGTTGGCGGCGGCGGCCGCGGCGAACGGCATCAGCATCGGGCCGAACCCACCGACGGCGATCTGGGCGGCGACCAACATGTCGCTGCTCAAGGCCACCGACAAGCTGGCGAAGCGACCGCACGAGGACCTCGCGCAGGAGTGGGGCCAAGAGCCCAGCGGGCTGAAGCCGAGCAAGAGCCCGAGGATGGAGCAGCCGGAACAGCCGTTGGACTTCACCACCACCTCGAAGAAGATGAAGACCGGCTCGAGAAGCGGGTCGCATCCCGCCGATCAGCAGCACCACCATCATCATCTGCGGCAGCAGCAGCAGGCTCGTCTGCCGAGCACCACCGAGGCCGGCGGAGCCGTGGTTCACGAAGACCGGCCGTCTAGTCACGCGGGCAGCGAGGTCGCCGTCGGCATGCCGTCCCCGTCGCCCGTCGGCCAACAGCCCGTCAAGGACGAGGAGGGCATGTGGAGGCCCTGGTAAACCGAGCGGTTTCGCACCCCTTCCTCTCGCGCGTGTCTTTGTAAATAGGATCTCTCGTGGGGCGCGCGCGAAACCGGGAGCCGCGACCGTGAGGAAGGGAGAACCAGTCTTCGCGTTTCGCCGAGAGCAGGATCACGTGTACACACATACTTCTTGCGTACCCGAGGTAAAGCGCGGACGTTTCAGTTCCGTGGTGAGCTCCGCGGAAATTCTCGTTATTCTGCGAAATCTTTTATGCATGTACAGGATTTCTTTGTCGTAGAAATGGTAGATGTACGATAATGTCTTGTTGTCTAATTTCGGACAACGTACGCGTCCACGCGTCTGAGGCGACCTTAAATCCCACTGGGGTATCGTTTTTTTTCAATGCGGGAGACGCCGTTTTTTCCTTCTTAGTTTGGAATTGGAACTGTTTGCGCGCGATCGCAGAGACGAGGACGAATAATCGCACCTGTTTCCGTACGGAGGGGAAAGAATTGGTCGAACTGACGTGAACGAAGCCAAGGGAGGCAGCGGAATTTCTAGTTCTTAAACCCTACTTTGGCATTCATGGGTCAAATTGACCCGGGCGCAAATTTTAAGATACCGTACTTGTGGAATCTTGAATTGTTGCAATATGAATATAGAATTCTTTTCTTAAAGCGTGCAAAATATGTTATGTTTTCTTCTATAAAAGCAATAAAAGAGATTAATTAGTAAAAATCATGTGTTTAAAAAGTTATGATTATGACAATTTTAAATTAAAATAAATTATTTTAACTTAATTTTAAATCGGTGAGGAAATTAATTAATTAATCAATTAATTAAAATTATCTATTTTAATTTTCCGTTAGTCGCAGTATCTGATAGATACACCTGTGAATTTGTTCTTCATTGTTTTTTTATTTATTTTAGTGTTTGGTCTGTTAGCCAAGTGCTAATGAAAGAAAAATTGTTTCGGGAAGCCGAGAAAAATAACGGAAAAATTAGTATATTTGCGAGACGCATTGTAATCATTCATAGGTAAAAGATATTGCGACTAACGGAGGGTTAAAAATTATGATTACGACACATTTTTCAAATTTGCCTTTTATGCACTCAAAACTATAACATCTGTACTATAACATTTGAATGAGTATATTTATAGATCCTTACGTAAGGGCAGGTCGAATAGGTTTTTAGGCCTTTCGTAGATTCGGTATGCCAGAACAACAAAAATTAAATCAACGAAGAATTGAGACGGAATCTGATTCATAAAGCTGAGTGCACACTGAGCGAGCGAACGAGGAACGAGCAGCGAATGCACACCTTCGTTGTTACGATTTGGAAAATGTGTATGGTCAGTCACGAAAAGGTTGCAACACTCTCCTTCTCCGAAGAGCTTCGTAACTCTTATTCAACGGGAAAATGTATCTCCCGATAATAACGGGGAACAGATTCTCTTATTGAATACAGGACGCGTTCCGAATCTTACAAAAAGGAATGTTGCGACTCTTCGTGACTGACTGACGCGCCGTAACGAACGGAACGTTTCGAGGACCGATTTGCTCTCACAAGGTGGTCCATCCGAGCAAGTTCGTGCGCTTGAAACGCGCGAATGCACACATTCATATTATACATTCGCCGTTCGTTCGTCCAGTGTATATTGTTTTCTCCAGTCGGGACGTTTGACGTTATTTCGTCCCCATCGTCACATTAATTCGACCAATCATTTTTCCCCGTGTGTATTCTATATTCAAACGCGCATGCGTGCTCGCATTCGTCTTTCTCTCTCTCTCTCTCCCTCCCTCCCTCCCCCATTCCTTTCTTCCTCTCGATCACTCTCGGCCAATTCGCGAGAAAAACGTGTCGACGGAATCGCGCACGTCCGAAAAGTTCTTCAATTAGCGCAATAAAATTCTCGAAGGGGGATATAGGTGAGGTAATTATATCGCGATATTCACGAGCGTTATTTACGGGAATCGGCCACGATGACATGATCCCCCCTCTTCTGCGATAATACAATCGCCGAAATGAAATTGCGCACAATCGGCGAATTTTCATAAGCACAGGAAATTAAACACGGTTGCGGGTGATACCGAGAGAGAAAGAGAGAGAGAGAGAGAGAGAGTGGGGGAATGCTAATTGGTGGGAATTGAAATTATCCTTTCACGGGGCTGCAAGGTCGACGAATTTTACGGACATCGGGAGAGTATCTCGCTCTGTACATTATCCGGCCGATTCTGAATTTCCAATTCGATTCGCGCTTGCGAGATCGGGAAACCTAACCACGAGCGACTTGTTTTTTTTCTCTTTTTTCCCTTCTTCCTCGCGCGGAAACGAGTACACGGAAAAGGCGTATGCACATTCCCGCCTAATAACGCCGGCGCGCGTGCCGTTTCTTGCGACAGCGCCGCTAACGAAGGCTTTAATTCGCATCAGCGTGCCCAAAATTGGATGTGCAAATTTTCGCGAAAGCGCCGCGCGTTAACAATTCAATGCGTTCGTTTTGTCTTGTGGCGAGATTTTTTTTTTTTTTTATATCTTTTTCTTGCGTCGAGCGTTAGCGCGCGTCGTCGTCGTGGCGATAATTTCGCGATAGCGCGAGTGTAACGATGAAAAAATGCGGCGTGGCGCGGAATATTTAAAACCCTTCGTGGTGTCTAATCTTTAAATATGACGCATAGTTTTCCTTTCGCTTTCACTCCGAGAGAGAGAGAGAGAGAGAGAGAGAGAGAGAGGTACGTTTGCACCTCTCGATAATCTGTTTTCGAAAGCGAAGTGCAGTGAAAATATTAATCTCTTGTGGATACATTAGCATTAGCGCGCTTTGTTGAACGGAGTCGGTCCTCTTTTTTTCTTTTCTTCTTGAGAAATGATTTCGTTCGATAGGCAGTTTTAGTGGCGAATGTGACCCGCACGGTAGAAGAAAAAAGAAACGATGCGTTTGCGTCGGAGGAAACGCAAGTTTCCAGTTTACAACTAAATTTGACTTTCAGGAACGGAAATTCTGTTTCCTTCATCCAAAACGCGCAATCCGGTTTTGCTCATCCTTACACATTGATTCAACCGACCTTTCTTCCCCGTGCAGATGTCTCAGTATATTCCATTGTTTCGACCGATGATCGTCAGCCTACAGCTGTTCCCAAGTTAGTTTCTTCTTACTCCGGAGGAGAAGAAAGAAAGAAAGAAAGAGAGAGAGAGAAAGAGAGCATAAAGAATGAAGAACAGACTGGACGACGCGCGTTTCGCGCGGGCGTGAAATCCAAAGTAGGGAACGAGTGCGAGCAAGATTGTAAAAAAAAATATACGCCTAATCAATTTTCGATTTTCCCCGAGAAAACGAGGAAAAGAAGGAGGAGGAGGGGGAGGAGAAGGATAAGGATAAGATGGCTGCCGCCCTTCTCGGTCGAAGTCGGTCGCGCGACTTTTTCGCAATCACGCGAACAGCGGAGGTCGGTCTGACGTAGTCGCGCGTGAAAAACGCGCCACAAGATAACTGTATGTATGTAAATGACGGAGTGATTAGTTTACGATTACCGGGATGGAGGAAGAGGGAGAGAACGCGAGAGAGTGTGTCAAAAAGAGAGCGTGAATGCGTGCGTTTTAGTCCGCCATTCGTGTACATAGCCCCCCACCACCACCACCACACACACACACACCCCGATCGAAACTATTGCTATTTACGAGATATAGATTTATTTTGATGTTATCTAGGTGTATACGGCGAGACAGAGAGAGAGAGAGAGAGAGAGAGAGTGTGTGTGTGTGAAAGAGAGAGAAAGAGAGCAACGAGAGTGTGTGCGTAGCGAGCGTGTCGTGCGTGCGATTATTAATATAATCGCACACCAGCGTAGCGAGGAGTCACCATCTCACCACCTAATTTACGTCTGTAATTGCTAAATATCCTGGAATTCGAATTCCTTATTCAATGTACTTAGACGCGCAGTCAATATAGTCATATATATTGAACTGTACACACACCGCATCGTCTTATTTATCTCGCCTCTCGACACACGAGATTCTCCTACCATCATGACTCGATCGTTGGATTCTTTTTTCCCTTCCAATTCTCCGCCTTTTATTTCGATTCCCGTCTTGCCTCACCGCTGCGTAAGCAGAGAGATGCATCGCGCTGTGCGATATTTTTACGCGAGAGTGTTGTTAGAAAATACTAATAACGGGAATTTTCTGAGATTATTTTACTTGTTACCTTTTGCGATCGTCCTAACGATCGTCGAGTTATTGCAGAGAATCCAAGGTCGGTTAGAATGATGAAATTCTTCCTCTAACGGAGCAATCCGGGGTTGAATAAGATTCGAATCTGATTTCTCGGTATGCGACTTCCGCATTCCGAGAGCTGATCGGAAAATTTTCGTTCGAACACCAAAAACTTCGTACACCGAGACGGAAACATAAGCGAAATATCGCTCTTGTTTTTCTTCTTCGAGGATTCGACCATGAGATAATTCGAGCGAATGTTTATGTCGGAAGCCGGATACATGTGTAGATCGAAAGGCCGCCGGACAAGTGAGTATTCAAACAATTGTTATTAGTAATCTGGAATGAAAATTTTGTTTCTGCATTATCTTTTCAATATTCCACTGAACTTGAAGCATCAATAGAGAATCTCTCAAGTTATAGCACTATGTTGCTCTTTATATAATGCTAGGAATGTTTACTTGCTTTAACATTTTAAACTTTTAAGACTTAAAGGACTTTTTTGAGAATTATTTAATATTTACTTATGATTATCTCAATAGACTTTACCTGTAAATTTTTTCNGGAGAAAAATATTTCATATATATATATATATATATATATATATATATGAAATATTTTTCTCCAAAATCTGCTTTGTTTCTGAGATATAAAATTAGTAACACTTTAACTGACTCATCCTGTATATATTGATTACGTAACTTCACTGCAGGCAAAGTGAATGCAATAAACGAATATTAAATAATCTAATAAAGATTAATGAGTAAGCGAGTAAATAGAATAACACACTTCTTTCTTTCACAAACTCTTCGTCATTCCCTTTTATTGGCGTCATAAATTTCGATAAAATTTGAAGTGAAAAAATAAGAGTAGTGAGCATCGTCGTCCATTGCTTCTACTATCCTGCGTCCTATATTCCGTCTCGGAGTTAGTTCCCAGTCGTTCGACGGTCCGAAAAAGTACGATTCGGTCGGAAACGCAGCGTCAACTAATAATCGCGCATTGACAGACGCACAATTGAAGCGATTTTTCCAAAATCGCACGAATCACACTTCAGATACGTATTGCGCGTGCAACTGTCCTGATAACTTGATAACATAGGTCGACAAGCAAATTTTTCTCATATAACTCGAATCAGAATAGATATTTCTTATAGAGATTTTCGGTACAATGCCTCTAGCCAAATTATCGTTAGCTCCATCACGTCAGGTTTTGAAATTATTTTGAATTTAAAGATGAGAAATTAGCGATTCATAGGAAAAAAATATAATAAATTATTAACCGTTAATAAAATAATAAAACTGGGTGAATATTTGATTTACACATTGCTTTCTTATTATCAAAGAATAAAAATCGCCCTTTAAATAACAAAAATATTTGTTCAGTGTGAAAAGAAGGCACTCATGTTGGCAATCATTCATGTTTGGCAGGATTAGTAAGAATAAATAGTCGGATTTCAATGTTGTATGGATTCTATTCTCTCTTCGTAATACGATCTTAAAATTTTATTAAGAAATGTATGAAAAAGTACACTTCTAAAATGGCTGATAAAACAAACATTTCGTAATAAATTAGGAGTTCTATTAAATTTCAATACGAAGAAAGGGCTTTTTAAAACCATTTTGAAATAAATCACAAATTTTGACATTTAAATAGCAAGAAATGTTTAGCTGATAAATACTCTAGTAAATAGCTGACGAAATCGTTGTTAAAATTCAAAATAACTTGAAAACCCGACGTGGTGAAGCAATTCGGCCAGCAACGTTGTTTCTTGTGACTGAAAATTTATGAAAATTATTTCCTGTGATCAGAGCTAGTTGAAAAAAAATATTGTTTCCGCCGTCCTGTGTAATTTAACCCTTTCGGTACTACTGCCGCCCATTGGCGGCGGCCATGAAACGTTCTCTGGGTACTACCGTCGCCTATTGGCGGAAACGTTCTCTGGGTACTACGCTAGGTACTGGGCTTGCGCTGCCGTACAGTGCAACCACTTTTATGGAAAACTTCCTCGTACCACGAATGTATAACCGCGGCCAGCTCCTCCGTACCGAAAGGGTTAACCACCTCGAAGGTTTGAAATATTCCGAGATTGATTCTCGCGATTTCTCGGTCACCGAATATACTCAGCATTGCGACAACGGTCGGTGGAAAACACTTTTCACTGCTCGCTGATTGTTTCGGTACCGTCAAGCGTCGCGTACTTTTCCGTGATCGAGTTATCGCCGAGTCTTGGGCCGACGAACGACGCACATATCGCGACGTGGCGCGCACGGCGCGTTGTTTACAATTATTGTCGGCTGATTGAAATATTTCGTTCCGTTAAGATATTTAATTTGGTTGTCGTCGGCATCGCATTAATTAACACACTTCTTTCCCTGGTTGAACCGTATTTGTCGTGAGCGTGCGCCAGTGTTAGTGAGATCGCGAAATAGCCAGGATCAGGATGTTGGGTGATGAAACGGATGAAGGATGCGGGCAATATCATCGCATGTTTTCAGGTGCGTCAAATTATTTATCACACTGGATGTTTCCGATTTTATTGAACATTTCACGAACTCACCGAACATGAAGATATATTTGAGCTAAAATTTAGAATCCACTCGAAGGCTAAGATCTATGATCCGTCGTGATTCGATAAATCATCATAACTTGATGAATTTTCCCCTAATTATTCATTAACCGTACTTGGTTCATCTAACGAGAAATATTAATCTTAACAGTCGGATAATGATCCACGAAAACGATGAATAAATTATGCTTTCGATCGAAGACCGTAGGTACCATTCATCACCTTTCGTTATATTTTTTGACAAGTCACTAAAAAATTCACTATCGTCCAAAATGGATCACTACAGTCACTTTTTCCCTGAGCTGCAGTTAAATTTTTTAAATGTAGATGTTCTATATATATTTTTACCATTTCTCTTAACCGTTTCTCTTTAAGGCCTATAATAATGTATATTAACTTCCACAAATTTCGTTTGTTGGTAAAATGATAATTTCATCGATATAACGTTATTAATCCATCTTAAATGAAGTTATATTTTCTATCCTAATCCGTGAAATAATGTCTTTCCAGCCGAAGACCAATATATGCTATCGTATATAAAGTAAAATTGTCGATATTCGGATTTGCATAAAGTTATTTGTGAAAAAACGCAAGTATATTCTATTTATGAGAATTTTGTCCGATATTCTTCAACGACTACGTCATAAATGAACGGAGAATAAGTATTTTTTAAATAAAATAATTTTAATACTTTCCCGTTTTTATACCTCAATGTACATAACGTGCGTAATTATGTACATTCAAAGAATTGTACTTCTTGACTACCAATTTTATTCGGACCAAAAAAATTTTCATCAGGAACAACCTTTAAGACAATCTTATAAATTAAAACATTTCGCTCCAACAGGATCGACGTATAGACCTTAAAGGGTTAATAAAACTGCTCTGAAATCATATCGGTGTCGTTCATGCCTTTCCCTGTTATAAACTTTCAAGCGTTCTATAAAAAGAATTCGTTATATGTTATCTAAAGACAAACCTGGTAAGATAGAAGTGTTACTTCGTGCTTAACCAGCCTTAATTACTCAGAATTTGAGAAAAAATACTTTCCGCTATTTTTGTGTCTGAGAAATCACTTTTTATTATTTTATCTATCAAGAAGCAGTCACTGTTTCACTTCTTTTTTTGTTCCGATAGCATCGCCGAAACTATCAATAATTTGCAACGACGAATATTGGCCTACATCTCGCAAATGATGTTGTACCTCCTTCTCATAATGTTCCTTTTTTTATTTTTCTTCATACTTGTTATTATATCAAATTCAAATTCACTTGTTGGTATTTATGTAATAGACTCCTCGCTGCTCACCTCTTTCGAATATCCAAATCCCATCGAAATTTTCAAGCCCAATAACAAAATAATAGCAAACAGATTATGAAAACAGAAAGGTTCGTTTTATTTATAGCATATACCTCTCTCTGTCGATCCCATTATTTATCCACATCAGTTATTTAATATTTGCTTATCGCACATATTCTATCTGCAGTTAAGCAAGTTACATAATTAACTCGCATTGATTTCGATATTCCGATATTTACGTTAAATTTATCGCATTTTTAATGCCGTTGATATCAAGAATCAAAGTCGAACGGAAGATGGAATATTGAGATTATCGAGTGTTAAATAATCTGGAACATCCATTTTCGAAAAGTGCTCGGGGACATTCCGCCGGCTCTCTCAACAAATCCCTCTTCGAGCCTCGACGTGAAGGAAAAACGGTAGCAAGTTACCAGCGTCAAGGTAGGACGATAGCTCGAGAGGATCGATCTCTCAAGTTCGACGGAATTCGCACGAGATTAACGCGGAAAGCCGAACTTTTGGGACTCGACGCGATAAATCCGTAGTATCGAGCGGACTCCGATCGTCATTTTCCCGTTTTCCTTCCTTCTTCCCAGGGCCGCTTCTCCGTGTCGCGTCGCGCGGTCGACCTTCGGCGAGCTCCTTTCGCGACGGAAAAAGGCGACGGCGGTAACGAGACGACGGCCGGCCGGGGGATCGTTAATGCAATTTTTTCCCGGCCATTAAACTTTTTGCCGGGCTGTCCCGATGCGCGAGTCTTAACGACCGCGCCGAGAGCGGCGTGCTCGCGCTGCGAGAGAAACCGATTACCGATCGTTAAGTCGACCTGTTTGCGCCCGAGAAATGACCGTTCGCACACCTCTCCTACCCGGTCCGCCTGCACGCGCC